TAAAATGAAAAATTTTATAAATTTTTGATTTTCATATTATGACAATTGTGCTGACAGTTTTTTAACATGTTTTAGAAAATTTAGAGGTATGTGATTTTGGCATTAATTTTGAAAATTTGGATTATTTTTTTGAATCATTTTTAATTAGTTTGTTGCTTAAGTCTCTTTTTATTTATTCTAAGTTTTTTATTTAATGTTTATTATTAAAATTTATTAACTGACAATTATAATTTCTCCTATTTGATCAGTTAAAAATGGTGGAGGCGCCGGGCAAATCTAGTAACTCTCTTCTGAGCAAAAACCCTAAAAAACTATGTTTATAATTTAGTCCAATTTTTTATTTACTTAGTGTACCAATTTCTTACTTAGCTATTTTAATTTAACAATTTGTTATTCGTTAGTAAGTTGTTTTCTCTCATATGTGTGTAACATAAATCTGAAATGTATTTTAAATCTTTAAATTATTAACCAGCTTTTTTAAAAATTGTGTTTATCTATGTTGATGCATATTTAAAGCGAAATAAATCCTAGCTTTTGACGAAATTAAAAAGTGCATTTGCAACATTATATCGCACAGAATAAAATAAACTTTATCAAGCAGACAGAAAGTGTAACTAGAATATTTTGTGTCTTCTTTCGTTTAAAATTTGTGAAGATTTACGTTTGCTTTATTTAAGTGTACGTCGGGTGCTAATCTCTGCAGCGGCTACTGCAGCGGAGTAATTTAATATTGAGGGTGGAGTGGCCATCTCGAGACAAGAGTCTGTATGGCAAATGACACATTTATCCGACTTTACGAGGCAGTCTGATATGCAGATATGAATTTAAACTGAACGCTGGGGAAAGGGTGATCTTGGACACCTGCGTCTGATGTCAGATGTTGGGAGGCACATGTGAAATATTAGACGTCTTCTCGATTTGCAAAGTAAAGTAAAACCGATGGATATTGACAATAACGTTAGTTTTATCTCAAACAATTATACAGAACGCACATCTGGTTTTAGATTACGTTTCGCTAGACTGGATCGCGATACTGTATAAAACACTTCTCGATATAATGAAAGTCTGCTTTTGTTTCGGTATATCGAGCTTTATCGACCAATCAGCAAACTCGATTCAAAGGGTTCTTTAAAGCTCGCTGTGTCAGCTATCACAGTTTACCATTGTCCTATCGCGTATCGTTAAAATTATAAATTTGGCTGAGTACGGATCTTGATATTACAATGTGTTTTATATTCATGACATGGCTATTTTTGGTCCAGTCGCCGTAAAAACTCGCCCTCCTTGCTTCTTTCACATCGCATCACAGAATTATTACTACAAATCGCTACATTTTATACTATCATCAAAAGCAACACTCACAAAAGCTTATCAGTGCTCTTTACTAATTGCACTCGGAACGCAACAGTGAGTTTTTATTTTACGCATTTACTGTTTCATTGTTTTATTTGAAAACATTTTTGAGATCCTTGGTGGTCAATTCCGGTTTCCGGTTCAACTCTGTGAGTCTAGTCAGATGCTTGCACGGTTTAAATTCATTATCTCACATTGAGCACGTAACTCTGCCCGTGTAAACATTCAATTCCGTTACAATACATATGTAACAGGGTCGACGATTCGGCCCCAATCTTTTACAATTCAATGCGCCTACATGAATATCTCATGCACTTTACTCCTTTAAGGCGTCAAGATCATTCCGTTTGATTGCATTCTTATTTTTATTCCTTCGCCACAGCGTAATGGAGATGAATCTATACAGAAACCGGCACGCGAAGAGCAAGGGTCAAGTTTGTGCTCGTACGAGCGAGCGTCCACATGATGGATAGCGAAATAATCCACAAGCAATAGTGGAAATAAATAGCAAATTTTATTTTAACAAAAATTTAACTTGAAATGAATGTAATAAATGTACCCACAGGCTACTTCTTGCAAGATAATAATATTTGAATTTCGTAGATATTTTTTTAATGTCAAAAATGTATTAAATTTTGTAATATTTTATTTTCCTCTTCAAGTTTATGTTTTATGTTTTTCCATCCTTCAAATTAATTAAAAATTAAGCTTTTCAGTGAAAAACTCCTTGGAGAAAGATTTGTTATTATCTCAAATGCTTCAAAACGACAAAACATTCTACATAAACTATAAAAGGTTTATGTAGGATGTTATATAAAAATACTACATATTCTAAAATATTAAGGGAACAACAAAATTTCTTAAATTTTTGGTGATTTTTGCAAAATTCATTTGAAAGTTTCAAGTTTTTAGCTTTGAAATTTTTTGGCAAAAAAGTAACGGTTATTATGCAATTCTAAGTAATAGCGCGAGAAATTTTTTTTATTTTGTTCTTTTTTTTAGTCCACGGTCTTATTTCTGTTCTCGGTTATCGATATCTCATCAAGTCATCAACCGATGACCGCACAGAGAATATAAGAATAGTCTTAAAAACAAAATGTTTTTTCTATTTTGTGAAAACTATTTTTTTTTTGCATAGTGATTACGACAGCTAAATTTACATTACGATTAATCGTACAGAAAGTTATACTTTTTCAAAGGATTTCTGTAGTTATATTTCTATAGTTTCTATAGAGTTCGTTACAAAGAGCTCGCAATACATTACGATTTGATTTATCAAATTGATTTCTTTTTGGTCTTTGGGGTTCTTGGGGTTATCACTATGCTAAAAAATGTTGTGTACAACTCCGTTCAAAACTCCTTTTTTTCACACATTTGGGCAGAGCCCTCGTTAATGAACTGCAAATTTGTGGAAAAAAGTATGACTTTCAAAACTAGTTGTACAAATAACTATTTCACTATCAATATTGATTTAAAGAAAAGAGAAAAAAACTTTGTTGTTTTAGTAAATCTACGCGTATTCACAAATATTAATGAAGAAACTAATGTGTGTACTTTTTTTGCAGGTATTCTCAATAGGTTTGTAAATTTTTAAATCGATCCATGAAATTGTTTTTTCGGACTAACTGAAGTTTTACAAAAGAATTTAAAAAACATTGTCTTCACCTAAATGAAAAAAACAATTTTTGTTTTTAAAAAACAACTTTTTTTACAATCTTGCTTGTTAAATTTGAAAAAAACTTCAAAAAAGTTTTTTGATATTTTTGAGAATTTAAAAAAAAAACAATACTGACAAATTTTTGAGACCATTCAGTTTTTGCACATCCTAATTTTACTTATTTCAAATTAATTGCATTAATTAAAAGTTGATACCCCCAAGCTGTGTTCAGCACTGGATTTACGAACATTCATACAAATTTTCAAAAAAGTCAAATTTGTTTTAATTGTTTCCAAATTTTTTATTCAAGAACAGTAGTGTATTATTTTAAAACTCAACAACTTGAAGCGTTTTACACCTTTGAACATGTACTATTTTCTTTACACTTTTTATTGTGCCGGGTGGGACATCGGTTACGCGCACTTGATAAATCGCGACTTCTGATTAATTAAAACTGAAGATATTTCATATAACTAACTAATTATATTATTATATTATGAATTATGAATAATATTATATTATTCATAAATAAAAATGATTTTCAGAGTTAAGATGAAAAATTGTTTTTAATTCAAAATTTAATTGGTATTTTTTTCTAACTTCGTAAACAATTACAGGAAGTGAATCTGCGTAGGTCAGTATAAAAATTAGAATTAAATTTTTTGAGAGTAAATTACTTTTAAATTTTATTGACTTTGTAAATAAAATATTCCCAAATAAATATGAAATGTACCTTATCAATGCCCAGATAAGTGTGAAAAATTTCAACAATTTTATTTAATTAGAAGTAGGGATTTCTTTTCTGCTCGTAACCGATGCACATCCGGTATACATACATTATCCACTTTTGTGTTTTTTTACTGTTATTTATTGATTTTTTTCTTTTATACCTACTACACAAAATAATTATATTGTTTTTAAATGTTTGAATGAATACATACTTTAAATTAAGTACAAAAATAAAAAAAAATCTTATTTTAATTTTAATTTTAATTGTTCTCAAGTCTTGCAAGTTATACCAACATAATTATGTATAGAAGGTCTGAAAAGAAATTTTTTATGTTGGAAAGTCGTTTTTCTACAAATTTTGCTTGTTTTGTTAAAACACACGTTAATTTGTTTTCTATTTTTTTTTGTAATAAACGAACTTATTTCTACGTATTGAATAATGAATTTATCGACTAAGTATTTATGAATTAAAAGTAGTATTAAACTCCAATACTCAAGTCAGCGTGTGTTACGATAAGGTCATTTTGGCAAGTGTAGAGAGAAACGCTTATCTCAGACAATATCTTAACAACGAGGTCTGTTGTAGGTCGAAATTGTGTTACTATTGTTTGAGTACTAGTACACTTAAATGATGTAAGCAATTTTGCTAATTACGTGGCAGATGCTCAAAGTCTTGTCTGTTGAAAAATGTAATTTTTTTGTTAGTAGTGAGAAAAAAATCTTGAAGCATGTTTTATATTTGTATCTAAAAGAAAGCTCGTCTGATAGATTTCAAGTTGATTGCACAATAGCACGAAACAAATGAATGTGATAATTAATCTCCAGATGCGATTAAATCTGAGTTGAAAGCTCGTTCTTAACGCGTATTAAAACATTTCATTAATTTGAATCCTGTTTAGAATCTAATGAAATAAAACGTTGGTTTTTCGTGGTAAAATGGCCTGTTCGTTGGCGGGTCATAGAGGTAAGTTCCCGTGTGCGCGCCTCTGTGCAATTAACCAAATTTGAGTTGGCAAGAGCTCTGATATTATGCATTCAAGAGCTCTCCAGCATAAAATTACATATTCAAACATTCGGGAAGGGGCGACAAAAAAGGCCAAGAAAACTCAACGAACTTGTAACAATCACAAACTCGATCGTAATTTCCCACAGGTAGCAAGAATCAAATGTCGAACGAAACGCATCAACGTCAACCGCAGGCGTTCTATCCCCACCAGAAGCCTTCCTCTTGTGGTATACACTCGACGCTCGGCGTCGAGACGCCACATGGTGTTCGGATGCGGCAGAGTGCGGTGCGGTGCTTCGGTAAAAACGCGCTCATTCTTCACGTACAAGAGATAAATCGCGCTCCAAAAACAGGTTGGTCATTGTCCATAACTCTCACCTCTGCGATCTGGCTCATCGTCATTGCTAATAATTAACCCAGACTCGGCGAATTTCCATTAAAAATTTGTATGCAGAGCATTATCATAACATGCAAATGAAATTGGACCTCAAACCTACATAGTGATATGCAAATAGCGCCAACAATGAATTTGATTATAATCGCAGTTTCTGCTGAAAAAGTGTGCGCAAAAATGCACACCTCTAATAAATAATTCTTTCTTTTCAGACATGCTGAAGTGCTGGAGAAGTTGCAAAATACAAACCGTGTGATGAGTCAAAATAAAAATAAGAGAAGCTTATACACAAGAATGAAACTAGCGTGACACTCAAATTATTCAACATGTTGCTCTACATTGTTGCAGCAGCGATCCTGCAAATCCTGCTACAAACCACAGGTAAGACCTATTATTCTACTGCGGAAAAAGTACTCAAAATTGAGAGCGCTTTTCCGCAGTTATTATGCTAAAATTCTCGACGTGTTTGTGCAATTGAATTTTTTTTTTAGTTGCCAATACAATCAGTGCTCTCCTGATTGACGGTTTTCACTTTAAATTTTGACACAGCTAGTTTCTAAATGCATTTTCACTGAAATAAAACAACAATTGCTGTTGCGTACAATTTTTTCACAAATGGGTGCATATTTTATTGAAAATTTTGACATGATTGCGTCTTTAAAGTGTTAAAGTGTTCGTATTTATTTTTATAATATAAAATTAATCTTATTAATTAAAATGTGTTAATAAAAAATTAAGTAGTTTAAATTATTTTTAAATATTAATACAATCAGCACCAAGTTCTGAAATATTTACGTACTTGGATCGTTTCTGTTTCAAAGTTATTGAAGAAAAGACAAAATAAATTGTAATTTTTTTTTTTCAATTGATTTAATACAATTTTTTGCGAATAATAAATTTTGTGTGCTTAAAAGTACATAGTTCTAATTAAGGCAATGCAGTTTTAGTGTTGCGGTTCGATTATCCATAAAAGCAATATTGTGTATGTTTTTTATTAGTGTTAAAATATTCATAAAATTTAATTTTAATTTATGTGAAAAGTATTTTTTTATTAAAAAACATTTTTATTAAATATTTCCATTGCTTTCTTATAATACTTATGGTTATTTGTAATACGTAATTATTAATTATAAAGAACGTATATTAAGAGTCTTGTAAAAATTGCGTAAACTTATGTCTTACTTAGATTATTACTAGTAACAAAACCTTTACGATATATTACAGAAGAAAGGTAGAAAATTGTAATGATGTTTACAAACAAGTAGCCAATATTGACTGTTTGTTTTAGAAAAAATTAGTTTTAATCATTATTTCACACCAAATTGGTGTTTTAAAATTGACAAGGTAAATATGACAAGGAATCTTTTTATAATAAAACTTTTCATTCATCACTGACAGTTTTTTAATAAATAATTTTTAATTTATAAATGGTATTCGATAGATTAGTAACAGCGATCATCTAATTGTTTATAAATAATTGTTTAATATTTGACTCATAGAAATTGTTTTTTTTTAGTTTAGAGGAGAAAATTATAGTTATTTATTCGACGAGTTTGAGTGTAAATCGGACGTTTTATTTTACGAGAGGATTATTAAACCATGAATGTTAACGAGTGGTTTATCATCCCCGAGGTGGAATAAATGAACCGATTTACACGAAGACGAGTTGAATACAACATTTTATTCTTCGAATTAGACTCAACAAGGTATAAACTTGCTTTAAGTCTGTTAAAAATAAGCTGACGTTTCGTATTGAGAAATGCCAAACAATTGTCAAAATTTCCTTACGCGAGTTTCGAAGAATAAAATATGTTTTTTTTTATTATACATAGGTACATACGAGTATTATACCTATTGTACCTATTATTATATTTTAATAAACTAAACATTGCTACTTCTGAAAAAGTCACGTCGCAATTGTCTGAATACTCGCAGTTGCTCTATAATATATTGCTTCAATTATAGCTATTAAAACAACAAAAGTTTTAAACTATCAAACTTGTGTTGTCTTATTTCATTTCGGTGTCACAATGAACATTTTGTGTAAACAGTTGCTTAAAATACAATTTCGTGATACTATTTTTGGCGATATTTTATGCAATACTTCGGCAAGCGAAAAATTGTTGCAGTTCAATGTATTTCACCGAAACTAATGCAATTTAAGTAATTTTTTAAGCAATTTGGGTACCGGATAGGTCAAATGTCAAAAATTTTAACTGTCAAATATCATAGGAGTAATAAATTCAATTTATTCTTCGCTACTGTCAAAATTTACGGTTTTTCTCCCGTGTAAGGAAGTTTTGACAACTATTTGGCATTTCTCAATACGAAACGTCAAATTATTTTTAACAGATTTAAAGCAAGTTTAAGCTTTGTTGAGTCTAATTCGAAGAATAAAATGTTGTATTCAACTCGTCTTCGTGTAAATCGGACCCTTTATTCCACCTCGTGGATGATAAACCACTCGTTACACTCGTGGTTTAAAAATCCACTCTGTGAAATAATGCGTTCGATTTACACTCAAACTCGTAGAATAAATAACTATTAAAAATCGTTCAATAGAAAAATAGTATAAAAAACGCGTGTTACAACGTCTCATTGTATTTGTAACACAATGAGGGTGTTTGTAACACTTATTTTTTAATATACTATTCCAACAGTAATATTGATTAAGAAATTTTACTAAATTCAAAATTTGCTGTAATAGTAATTTATCAAATTAATGTCAAAATTCGCAAAATGCCAAGATATGAGTATTTGATACACTTATAAAATACGTTGTGATTGACGACGGACTTCGGACTTTATAGAAGAGCGTATATTAAGGGCAACATAAGAGGTAAGCTTAAATGCACCATATAAACAGTAGAAAATTCCTCTAAGTGGTGTAAAAAATAAATAAGTAAATATACTTTTGTGATTTTCATCACAAATTTAAAGGTTTTAGGTAGTTAAATAAATCAAACTTAAATAAAGGACTAGTTTATAAATAATTATTTGGAGTTGAATCACAGTACAAACTTGTTCCTAATCGCAATTTCATGAAAGTTTGACTTTGTTATAATTTTTGTGAGATTAACGGAACAACTGTGGAAATAATTTATTGTTTTAGCAATTTGCCGAAAGTTCAGCATCGAACAAGCGCAAAAATTGCAAAACTTATCAATTCGTATGTTGGCATAATAAGAAAGTTTGTGAGAATTTTGAAATAAACTTTTCTTTGTTTTAGTAAAAAACTTATCATAAAGTTTTCAGACAAAGACTTTTACCGGATCAAACTGTTGCCAATACACAAAAAATACAAAATTTTCCTGGCACGTAATTGCTTTTTTCGATGAAAAATTTGAAAATTATTTGAAGCGTAAACGAATTCTTTCTTCATATTCTTTTGTGGCGGAGATTAGGGAATGAATGTGCACATTAAATAGGGTATAGAGCATACGCCTTAAAGTATGCACACATGACTTATGATATGCCAAGAACGTTTTGCATTGCGGTGATTTATGTTGTTTGGAATTGGTTTTCGCGAATTCATTTCCTTGATTTGTTTTCCAAGCAGAAATAAGAGTTTGGTGGTGGTATTGATTGATTCATTTTATGCATTCAAGCTCTGATTACGGACTGTTTACTTTAATCAGCACCGGCTGGATTTTTGTTAACATAAAAATAAACAAAAATTCTTTTTTACAAGATAAACTTCCAATTAACTTCAGCAATTACGCGCCGCTGCACCAAAACAGTTCGAATCCAAAATCATTGGAGTCACATTTGCTGGATTTATGTCTTGCAGTTTAGCAACGCAAATGTAATTTACATGCTTTAGACGGTTTAATTAAAATTACATTTCTAAGATTTGCAAGATTGGATGTTTACAAATAAATGTATCAATAGCAAAAATGGTTGATGCGCCGGGATATTACACTAGTTTAATTGATTTACCCAAATTTTGTTTTCTTAAATAAAAAAAACTTACATGTATTAAACTAAAAAGCGCCGGAAATTCGGCTCCGGGCCCGGAGCGGATCGAGTAGTCAATTGTTGGTCATCGAAGGAGTCGATATCTTTGTGCAATTTGTTGCTAGCGGAAGATGAACGCAGATAAATGACTAACATTTGTAACGTAATGACGGGCGCGGGGTCCAACCGGTGATTTACACCCATCAGTTTTATATCCTGGTCAGTATACCAAGTTTTTTTGCGCAGGTAGTGTGTTAACTTTATTACCGGAGTAAATAACAACCCGATTCTTACCAACTCTTTTACACACTTTGTCCGTAAAAAAAAGGTTAAGGAAACAAACGAGTTTTTGCGGAAGATGTTAAAGAATTTGATTGAGATTAATAAAAAGTTCAATAAAAAATCATTTCTTTGAGTTAATTTGCGAAATTATTTATAATTTTAATTGGCGTAAAAACAACATAAATTCTGTTTTTTCTTTAAATGGAAATTACTAAGTCACAATTTTGTTAAAAAATTATGGTTATGTTTTCAAATTGAGATGTTGTCAAAATTTTGACTTTTATGAATCTTGTGTGCCGGTTTGCTTTTTGAAAGCGCTACAATAGAATACCTGAGGACAAAAATGAGGTTCTTGCTACAAAAGCTTTGAAAAAAAAGGATGTATATACAGAAAAAAGGTATTTAGTAAAAGATAAAAGTGAGTATTATGATGATTAGCAGTAAATTTTGTGTAATTGAATGAAATGAGCTCAAAGTTGATGCATTTTATAAATTCTTCTTCAGCTTTAGTTTCAAAATTGTTACTTTTTTAATTTGTTGAACAAGACACTAATTTAATTACGTTCTTTTCGAGGTTCTTTCTCATTCATGGGATGTTTAGTAAACCTGCATTACGAACTACGTCTACATTTTAACGGGCCCTTTTTCTAACTTCCTGCTTGGGAACTATTCGTTTCCAAATTTCTAGAAACTGTTAGCAGTACCAAATTTGTTCCTTTTTTGGTGTTTCGTCTCTAAATTTGCTTAGATGATTTTTTGTGTTGACGTTTAATGATATTGTTTTGCCAACTTTTTTTATTAAAATTACCATGAATGGATTTACTAGTGGTGCCAACGTTAAGACTGTTTGGCATTTCCATTTAAAAAAATACAGACTATGCGTGATTCAAAAAAACAATTAAACTATTGAACCATTCAATTATAGATATAGCTCTTCAAAAATGCAAGTTTAATATTAAATGTTTATTAATTAGAGAAGATAATTTAGAATCACCACATAAGCGATTGTATGCCTCGGTTAAATCACCGTGTATAAGTCTAGTTTTGTAATTTTTTATTCGTCTCAAACATTGTGAACGGATATTATCTCTGTATTCTAATATCCGTTCTGTTAACTTTTTTTTTATTTTTAGCATTCATAA